TACAGTGGATAATATAGTATACATAGTATATAGTATAGTATAGTATATATATAGTATATACATATAGTGAATAAAAGATAGTATGTAATGAAACTTGTTACTCGATAACACAGCAAAAATAGCATTTGTTGAGTAACATGTTTTTCACATTTGTTTGTATCAGTGATGGAAGAGTCCCAGATTAGTGTGGGCTAATGTAACTCTGCGATCTTTACAAGCTTTTATTACTTCTTCATCGTTTGTAGAACCAGAAGGACTTGCAATATATCTTACACCGCTCTGCAATTAACAAATACTAGATTGCGTTGTCTAGAACAAACAAATAATGCAACAAACAATTACATACCAATGCTGCTCGTACCACACAGTCTTTAAATGGGAAGAAGCCATCGCTACTTAAAGCAACGTTTCTTATCATTTCGTTCCAGTCGAACCTATCACTTTCGGAAAGCTCGCCTGGTGTTTTAAAATACGGACGACTCCATTCAAGATAATCAATGTCTTTCCCAATAGATCCAGTTACATAATTATCAATAGCGTTTGCAATATCTGCTCTTTTTATACCCTTGTGAAACCTCATGTCAATAACATTAGGATGCTGACGTAACCACCTAAAAAACGGGCAATTATTAAATACGTAATTAAACATTCAGATAATACAAGTAACTAAGTATGTTTTAGAAAAATATACCAATTATCGGTTTTATCACCAGCAAGCCTTGTACATTGAAATCCTGATTGTTGTCCTGCACCAATTCCAATTACCTGTCCATCTTTAGCATAACATACTGAATGACTTTGTGTATATTTCACAGCAATAGTAGCCACGATTAAATCCCTTATAGTATCATCAGGTATATTTGAGACTTTTGTAGTTATTATATTAGCAAACATATCTTTATTAATAACAATATCATTGCGCTTTTGTTCCATAGTTAAACCAAACAGAACTTTCTGCTCCATTGAAGATGGCACATAAGTAGGATCAATCTGAAGAATGCAATAAGCACCATTTTTTTTCTTTTTTAAGATTCTTAATGCACTCTGTGAATAACCTGGCGCAATAATTCCATCAGACACATCTCTAAAAGTTTATTTATATGAATATAAATAGTGTAAATTCTTTTGTTTAAAAAATAATATCATATTTTGTATTACCTAAAAATAAGTCTAGCTGTAATTTCATCACAAGGATCTGATAATGCTATAAAATCTCCAATACTAGACATCATATCTGCACCTCTTGCACGAGCATAAGCAGTTGCTAAAGGTGTGAAATGATCTATTAAATCATCCACTTGACATACTTTTGCATCTAGCATATCTAATGGTACGGCAACTGCTGCACCAGCAGGGCTAACATGTTTAAAAGATGTTGCAGCTGGTAAATTCAAAGCTGTTCTTAATTCCTTTACCAACTGATAACCATTTAATCCATCGTAGAGATTAATAAAACTTGGAGAACCATTTATTACAGTTAGTGGCAATTTGTCCAAAGTAGTATAAATTTGTGCTGGTTTCTGGTGCGGATTCATTCCATATCGTAATGTTAGTTGAGAAACACCACTACTATATTGTTTACGGAAATAATCTGAGATAGCATTGTTATATTCTGCAGTGTGAGTAAATGCTTTGAGAGCTAATATTTCCCTAAAAATGGTAAAAATAATATTAAAATTATGTCGGAGGATAGAAAAGCATTTACTCTATTATTAAGATTTCTACATACCTAGTTTTCAAAGAAGTATCTTTATCAGCTGATGTTTCCATTTCTACTCTTACTTTGTCATAATCATTAGGGTCACATACAACAGTCACTCTATTATGATTCTTAGCTGCAGCTCTTAATAAAGTTACTCCGCCAATATCAATATTTTCTACAGCATTTTCGATTGTAACATCAGGTTTTGAGACAGTATTTACAAATGGATACAGATTACATACTACAAGTTTAATAAGCTCATAATTTTGGTTCTGAAGATCTTTTTGATCAGTCTCTGTGAGCCTGGCTAATATGCCTACAATTCGATACATGTAATATAATAGTCGCAGTATGAATGAAATGTTTTATTAACTTGATAATAAAATTCACTTGTTGATATAAATTATAATTATAATTACCTGCATGTATAGCAGGATGAAGAGTTTTTACTCTGCCATTGAGCATCTCAGGTGCTCCAGTAATAGCAGAAACATCTTTTACAGGAATACTAGCATCTCTTAAAAATTTTGCAGTACCACCTGATGCAACTAAGATTAAATCCAATTCATGCAGCTTTTTTGCAAAAGGTAAAAGGTTTGTTTTATCTGATACACTTAACAGTACTGCAAACGTAATGGTGTGAGTAAGATAAGTTAATTATACGTATATACAAAAACATTACTAATTATTAATTACTAATAATAACATTACTAACTTTCGTTTTAAAAGTATGTCCGTTAATATACTTATATAATAATAGTGATATATTTAAGAAATAATGTTGGATATAATTTATGTATACAATATGTATATAATGAATGTATACCTAGAAAATATTGAGAAATTGGCCACGAGTTCCAAGAGGCTATCGTTACAAATTTAAATCTTTATTTCCCATAACTTTACAAAATGATTAATTATAACTCACCTAAATTTCCTGCAGACATTGTGTAAATTAAACAAAACGACTAAGATCTGAAAATTAAAGTAAATTTTAGTAGTATTATAAGTATAAAGCTGCAGCTGCACCGGTCGTCACGTTCTCGGTTCAAGATCTTTACGAAAGTGAGTCCGCGAGAGTCCGAGAGTCCAATAAGAAACCTCCCCTTAGTTCGCATACTACTCCACGTAACTATCAGGATGCGCTTTTCACAGCCGCTATGATATTCATAATAACGTATTGTAACTTGCGGGGGTCTTAGGGTTCAAATGTTATCATTGCGAAAGTAGATAAAACATTTTGCAATAGATTGTAAACAAAACGTTATAAACATCATATTGTGGAAAGTTAAACTTATAAAATGTTGGGTTGGCAACAAAATCATTGCCGATTTCCGTTATAGATGTCTCTCACTCCCATTTTTATGATGTCGGTAAATGTTATATTATAAAATACTATATTATTATTATTATTGTATATTATATGTTATTATATATAATAAAATATTATATTATTATTATATATTATGTATAATAATACTAATATAATAATAATAATATATATAAAAATATTATATTATTATTATTATATGTTATACATTATTATATATAATAAAATATTATATTCTTAATATTATATATAATACATAATAATAATAACATAATACTTTATAATATAACATTTATGGATTTCATAAAAATGGGAGTGAGAGACATCTATAACGGAAATCGGCAATTACTTAGTTGTCAACCCAATATTTTACAAGTTGAACTTTCAACAATATCATGTTTATAACGTTTTGTTTACTATCTATTGCAAAACGTTTTATCTACTTTCGCAATGAAACATTTGAACCCTAAGACCCCGCAAGTTATAATACGTTAGTTTGAATCTCATAGCGGCTGTGAAAAGTGCAACCTGATAGTTACGTGTAGTAGTATGCGAACTAATGGGAGTGAATGCGGGACTCTTGTTGGACTCTCGGACTCTCGCGGACTCTCTTCCGGAAAGATCTAGAACCGAGAACGTGACGACCGGTGCAGCTGCAGCTTTATACTTATAATACTATTGAAATTTACTTTAATTTTCAGATCTTAGTCGTTTTGTTTAATTTACACAGTGTCTGCAGGAAATTTTGGTGAGTTATAATTAATCATTTTGTAAAGATATAGGAAATAAAGATTTAAATTTGTAACGATAGCCTCTTAGAACTCGTGGCCAATTTCTCAATATTTTCTAGATATACATTCATTTAATATCGTATATATATATTGTATACATAAATTATATCCAACATTATTTGCTAAATATATTACTGTTATTATAAGTATATTAACGAACATACTTTTAAAACGAAGGTTAGTAATATTATTAGTAATTAATAATTAGTAATGTTTTTCTATATGCGTATAATTAATTTATCTTACTCGCAGTACTGTTAAGTGTATCATAATGTAACATAAGCAACGTAACATAAGCAACTCTTCTATCGAAATAATCTTTTGCTTCGGCGACACTCTTCTCGGCAAAATATCCTGTTCCAATGTCCTCTAATACATTATTTGTATCCGCTAATTTCCCAGTAACATACATTGGTCCAGTCAATGGTACAAGAATTTCATTGCCTGCAAAGAATTATTTAAACAAATTAGATTAAGTAAACTTCACGTGCCTTAACCTTAATCAATGGTTATACCGGAATTAGAAGAACTATTATACTATAAGATAAATATACTAGAGCTAACAAAAGTCTTACCATTCATGGCAGGATTAATTTTACCAAGGCACGATCCGGACTCCTGAAATTTACTTTGAGCAACTTTTAGCGTTTGCAAGGAGCCTTGAAAGACTTCGAGCTCTTGATCCAGACGCTGTTTCAAAATTATGAGATGATTCTGACATCGAAATTTCCGACATTTTCTAATACTTTTTGTAAACGCAAAATTATCTTATACTAAATAATCTTTGAATACACACTTCGACACTACACCTGTGCAACCAAAAACGGTCAACACTGGGCCCACTGACAACCACAGAGTATTTCACAAGGGAAGGGATGCAACACGCAGCTGCGGTGTTTTTATTAGAAATTTTCTAAGCGCATACGTGCAAATGTGCATGTATGTATATGTACACACCATTTTAGAAGTGAATATAGAGCCTGTAGCGTTAATTACATACGCAAGTTGAATATAATAAACAGACAAAAATTAAGAATAAAGAAATTTCGATTGTAGCTTTATTTCCAAACGATTAAAGATTAAAAATCTCTTTCATCCACAATTAATAACGCATATTGTAAATATATGTATGTATATATGCTGCATGCTTCAAATAAAGAATGAAGACTGTTTTGGTGGTTGATTCCACGGGACTATGAAAATGAACTCAAATTTATATCTAATGTAGAAACCTAGAAATTGTTGTTTAGTTGATTATCAACCATTAGTGGATAATATAGTATACTTAGTACATAGTATAGTAGATATAGTATATACAGTGGATAATATAGTATACATAGTATATAGTATAGTATAGTATATATATAGTATATACATATAGTGAATAAAAGATAGTATGTAATGAAACTTGTTACTCGATAACACAGCAAAAATAGCATTTGTTGAGTAACATGTTTTTCACATTTGTTTGTATCAGTGATGGAAGAGTCCCAGATTAGTGTGGGCTAATGTAACTCTGCGATCTTTACAAGCTTTTATTACTTCTTCATCGTTTGTAGAACCAGAAGGACTTGCAATATATCTTACACCGCTCTGCAATTAACAAATACTAGATTGCGTTGTCTAGAACAAACAAATAATGCAACAAACAATTACATACCAATGCTGCTCGTACCACACAGTCTTTAAATGGGAAGAAGCCATCGCTACTTAAAGCAACGTTTCTTATCATTTCGTTCCAGTCGAACCTATCACTTTCGGAAAGCTCGCCTGGTGTTTTAAAATACGGACGACTCCATTCAAGATAATCAATGTCTTTCCCAATAGATCCAGTTACATAATTATCAATAGCGTTTGCAATATCTGCTCTTTTTATACCCTTGTGAAACCTCATGTCAATAACATTAGGATGCTGACGTAACCACCTAAAAAACGGGCAATTATTAAATACGTAATTAAACATTCAGATAATACAAGTAACTAAGTATGTTTTAGAAAAATATACCAATTATCGGTTTTATCACCAGCAAGCCTTGTACATTGAAATCCTGATTGTTGTCCTGCACCAATTCCAATTACCTGTCCATCTTTAGCATAACATACTGAATGACTTTGTGTATATTTCACAGCAATAGTAGCCACGATTAAATCCCTTATAGTATCATCAGGTATATTTGAGACTTTTGTAGTTATTATATTAGCAAACATATCTTTATTAATAACAATATCATTGCGCTTTTGTTCCATAGTTAAACCAAACAGAACTTTCTGCTCCATTGAAGATGGCACATAAGTAGGATCAATCTGAAGAATGCAATAAGCACCATTTTTTTTCTTTTTTAAGATTCTTAATGCACTCTGTGAATAACCTGGCGCAATAATTCCATCAGACACATCTCTAAAAGTTTATTTATATGAATATAAATAGTGTAAATTCTTTTGTTTAAAAAATAATATCATATTTTGTATTACCTAAAAATAAGTCTAGCTGTAATTTCATCACAAGGATCTGATAATGCTATAAAATCTCCAATACTAGACATCATATCTGCACCTCTTGCACGAGCATAAGCAGTTGCTAAAGGTGTGAAATGATCTATTAAATCATCCACTTGACATACTTTTGCATCTAGCATATCTAATGGTACGGCAACTGCTGCACCAGCAGGGCTAACATGTTTAAAAGATGTTGCAGCTGGTAAATTCAGAGCTGTTCTTAATTCCTTTACCAACTGATAACCATTTAATCCATCGTAGAGATTAATAAAACTTGGAGAACCATTTATTACAGTTAGTGGCAATTTGTCCAAAGTAGTATAAATTTGTGCTGGTTTCTGGTGCGGATTCATTCCATATCGTAATGTTAATTGAGAAACACCACTACTATATTGTTTACGGAAATAATCTGAGATAGCATTGTTATATTCTGCAGTGTGAGTAAATGCTTTGAGAGCTAATATTTCCCTAAAAATGGTAAAAATAATATTAAAATTATGTCGGAGGATAGAAAAGCATTTACTCTATTATTAAGATTTCTACATACCTAGTTTTCAAAGAAGTATCTTTATCAGCTGACGTTTCTATTTCTATTCTTACTTTGTCATAATCATTAGGGTCACATACAACAGTCACTCTATTATGATTCTTGGCTGCAGCTCTCAATAATGTTACTCCATCAATATCAATATTTTCTACTGCGTTTTCGATTGTAACATCAGGTTTTGAGACAGTATTTACAAAAGGATACAGATTACATACTACAAGTTTAATAAGCTCATAATTTTGGTTCTGAAGATCTTTTTGATCAGACTCTGTGAGCCTGGCTAATATGCCTACAATTCGATACATGTAATATAATAGTCGCAGTATGAATGAAATGTTTTATTAACTTGATAATAAAATTCAATCGTTGATATAAATTATAATTATAATTTACCTGCATGTATAGCAGGATGAAGAGTTTCTCCTCTGCCATTGAGCATCTCAGGTGCTCCAGTAATAGCAGAAACATCTTTTACAGGAATACTAGCATCTCTTAAAAATTTTGCAGTACAACCTGATGCAACTAAGGTTAAATCCAATTCATGCAGCCTTTTTGCAAACGGCAAAAGGTTTGTTTTATCTGATACACTTAACAGTACTGCAAACGTAATGGTGTAAGTAAGATAAGTTAATGATACGTATATACAAAAACGTTACTAATTATTAATTACTAATAATAACATTACTAACTTTCGTTTTAAAAGCATGTTCGTTAATATGCTTATAATAATAGTAATATATTTAAGAAATAATGTTGGATATAATTTATGTATACAATATATATATACAATATTAAATGAATGTATATCTAGAAAATATTGAGAAATTGGCCACGAGTTCCAAGAGGCTATCGTTACAGATTTAATTCTTTATTTACTGTAACATTACAAAATGATTAATTATAACTCACCTAAATTTCCTGCAGACATTGTGTAAATTTAACAAAACGACTAAGATCTGAAAATTAAAGTAAATTTCAGTAGTACTATATGTATAAAGCTGCAGCTGCACCGGTCGTCACGTTCTCGGTTCTAGATCTTTACGAAAGAGAGTCCGCGAGAGCCCGTGAGTTCAATATAAGTCCCGCCTACACTCCCCTTAGTTCGCATACTACTACAAGTAACTATCAGGATGCGCTTTTCACAGTCGCTATGAGTTTCAAAATAACTTATTGTAACTTGCGGGGTCTTAGGTTTCAAATATTATCATTGCGAAAGCAGATAAAACATTTTGTAATAGATTGTAAACAAAACGTTATAAACATCATATTGTGGAAAGTTAAACTTATAAAATATTGGATTGGCAAGCAATTGCCGATTTCCGTTATAGATGTCTCTCACTCCCATTTTTACGATATCCGTAAATGTTATNTCTCAATAATGTTACTCCATCAATATCAATATTTTCTACTGCGTTTTCGATTGTAACATCAGGTTTTGAGACAGTATTTACAAAAGGATACAGATTACATACTACAAGTTTAATAAGCTCATAATTNGTTATAAAATATTATATTATTATTATTGTATATTATATATTATTATATATAATAAAATATTATATTATATATATCTACATTATATATAATAATATTAATATAATAATAATAATATATATAAAAATATTATATTATTATTATTATATATTATATATTATTATGTATAATAAAATATTATATTATTATTATATATAATATATAACAATAATAATATAATATTTTATAATATACCATTTACGGATATCATAAAAATTGGAGTGAGAGGCATCTATAACGGAAATCGGCAATTACTTAGTTGTCAACCCAATATTTTATAAGTTTAACATTCCACAATATGATGTTTATAACGTTTTGTTTGAAATCTATTGCAAAACATTTTATATACTTTCGCAATGATAACATTTGAATCCTAAGACCCCCGCAAGTTACAATACGTTATTTTGAATACCATAGCGGCTGTGAAAAGCGCATCCTGATAGTTACGTGCAGTAGTATGCGAACTAAGGGGAGGTTTCTTATTGGACTCTCGGACTCTCGCGGCCTCACTTTCGTAAAGATCTGGAACCCAGAACCTGACGACCGGTGCAGCTGCAGCTTTATATATATATAGTACTACTGAAATTTNTCTTATTGGACTCTCGGACTCTCGCGGCCTCACTTTCGTAAAGATCTGGAACCCAGAACCTGACGACCGGTGCAGCTGCAGCTTTATATATATATAGTACTACTGAAATTTACTTTAATTTTCAGATCTTAGTCGTTTTGTTTAATTTACACAATGTCTGCAGGAAATTTAGGTGAGTTATAATTAATCATTCTGTAATGTTATAGGAAATAAAGATTTAAATCTGTAACGTTAGCCTCTTGGAACTCGTGGCCAATTTCTCAATATTTTCTAGATATACATTCATTTAATATCGTATATATATATTGTATACATAAATTATATCCAAACATTATTTCTTAAATATATTACTATTATTATAAGCATATTAACGAACATGCTTTTAAAACGAAAGTTAGTAATGTTATTATTAGTAATTAATAATTAGTAACGTTTTTGTATATACGTATAATTAACTTATCTTACTCACACCATTACGTTTGCAGTACTGTTAAGTGTATCAGATAAAACAAACCTTTTACCGTTTGCAAAAAAGCTGCATGAATTGGATTTAACCTTAGTTGCATCAGGTGGTACTGCAAAATTTTTAAGAGATGCTAGTATTCCTGTAAAAGATGTTTCTGCTATTACTGGAGCACCTGAGATGCTCAATGGTAGAGGACAAACTCTTCATCCTGCTATACGTGCAGGTAAATTATAATTATAATTTATATCAACGATTGAATTTTATTATCAAGTTAATAAAACATTTCATTCATCCTGCAACTATTATATTACATGTATTGAATTGTAGGCATATTAGCCAGGCTCACAGAGTCTGATCAAAATGATCTTCAGTACCAAAATTATGAGCTTATTAAACTTGTAGTATGTAATCTGTATCCTTTTGTAAATA